GTAGTAGTAGTAGTAGAAGTAGTAGTAGTAGTCGTCGTGGTGGTGGTGGTGGTCCACAAGACCTTTCCACATGGGTGTCCGACCAGAGTGTCCTACAGGCGTGTCCTACAAGAGGTCCCACAACAGTGTCCCGCAAGAATGTCCGACAAGAGTGTGCCGTAAGAGTGCCTCACAAGAGTGTCATACAAGAGCGTCCCGCAAGAGTGCACGACAAGAGCGTCCCACAAGAGTGTCCCTCAGAAGTGGCAACTTGTAGTACACATGTAATGTGGGAAGCAGTTCCTGCAAGCTGTGGCCTCAGGACAGGCCACTTGGTAGTACAAATGTAGCGCGGAAGCGGCGCCTCAGAACTGGCAACTTTAGCTGTGGCCTCAGAACTGGCCACTTGGTACTACAAACAAATGTGGTACGGGAAGCAGCTTGTGGGAGCTGCAGCCTCAGAACTGTCAACTTATGTGGCCTAATTACATCTGAGTACGTGAGTGTCGTACGCGAGTGTCCCACAAGAGTGTTGCACAAGAGTCCACAAGAGTGTCCTACACGAGTGTCGTGCAAGAGTGTCCCACAGAGTGACGAAAGTGTCGCACGAGAGTGTCCCACAAGAGCGTTCTACAAGAGTGTCTCCTACAAGAGTGTCAAAAAATGTTTGGGCGTTTGTTTCCGAGTACGTGTTTTCATTCGGGCTCGTGGGCTCCAATCTCTTTCAAAAAGAAGAGCCGCCCAACCCAAAGTGCTAAGATGTTGGACCATTTCGACGTCAAAAATTGGAACGTTTGGTCCATGATTCCTTCCGAAATGTTTGTTTGGCCGGTTCGACCTGGCTTCCTGCCCGACGGCAGTGCCAGTGCCAGTTGAACACCTAAAGAAGTACCCGATGTTCAACCCACCTTGCAAACAAACGGTACCAGATGTTCAATACCTTTGGATACCTTTGGAGGGAGTTATTATGATTTATTCATCAGCTGAGCTAAGTTTTTTGATATGAAATGGTTCATGCAAGATGCAACCTTCAAAAGGCTAGTGTAAACAACCTGCTTGGGGACGTAGGCGGTCGTAGGCATTTTCTTGCGTAATGTTTGTCGTAGGCGCTTGCCGCAGGCGACCGAAATAGCATGCCTTGAAGTCACCCAGCTTGTGTTTCTGATTCAAATTATACTTGACATTGTTTTTTTGTGTCAGTTTTTTGTAGCAGATGTGTTTCATCTCACAGTCCGGGACATGAACCAGGGGCAGTTTGCAAGGGCACTTACAATGACAGCTGCTGTCAACATTACTTGATTTTAAACCCAGCGCCGCGTTTGCCGCCAGATCTTCCCTTTGAGCTCTTTGCTCTTGACTTTGCATCGGCTCCTGCAGAACCGTCCGCGGCCGGGCGCGCGGCAGGCGCGGGACTTGAATTGGACGGCTAGAAACGTGGAGGTGACAAACAACTTCCAGTCGGAGGGTAAGGCTTTCCTGGACGTAGGGGAATTAGAGGTTTAACTCTTCAGTTTGCTTGGTTTCTCTTCGGCCTGTTTGATTTGAAAAGCAGGACGAGTGGACCGTGGACGTTCAGCATGGCGTTCATCAAGAGACATGACCTCCGGAGACACGGGCCATGTCATGGGACCCGGGCCATGGGCCATGGGACCCTGTCAGTCCTGCCTCAGCACTCAGTCTGGAGGTGCCATGTCATGCATACCATGTCAGTCAGCTGAAATGGTAAAACCCACACATTGGATTGAAGAGAAAACCATGAATACCATGAAGAAAACTGTCATGCATACCATGAGTGATTGAAGAGAAAACCCTGGAGTTGTAACCATAACCAAATGAATCCAACAAACAGAATCACATGGTTCTCCATACATCTCACATATCTCCCTAACATCTCTGAATCGGATTGTTCTCCATCACATGGGTTGTAATCACATGCATCTCTCTGGCATCTCTCTCCACCCACCAGTCCTCCAGTCGTCACGTGTTCGTTCGCTGCACCGGTCGGTGGGTCGTCAGGGTTTGGAACCGGTGGCGATCCAGGGTGCCCCAGCAACGCCACTGGGGATGTGTGCCATATGGCGCGGTGTGGTGACGTGGTGGGGCCGTGGTGGCGGTGGCGGTGACATGGTGACGTGGTGACGTGGTGACGTGGTGTGGTGGTGTGGTGGTTTCTTTTTTTGGGGAGGCAGGAGGGGTGGTCGTTTTGGTTCGGGTCGTTGGTGTGGTCGTTCTTGGGGTCCAAAGACAAACACCAAGTCGAGTCCTTTGCGGACAGTCTGTCGCGCCATGTCGCGCCCATTCGTGGCCTTCCAGAAATGCGGTGAACGAAACCGAAGATGCCCAAAGATGACTGGAGAGGACGGAGAGTCTTTTGGGGGTTTGATGACGAGAGTTTTTGTGGTTTTTTGTTGATGACTTGCCCTATTTGTTTGCCAGAGTTTGACAACGTTTACCAAAAGCACCGAATCCCGTGATGGTTTGGATGGCAGCTTCCATTCTCGTATGTCATAGACTCATAGGGCCTCATTTCATGGAATTCTGATAAAACCTAAAACTGTTTGTACAGCGATCTTAGAGGCTTCCCCTGGCTATGCACCTGGTCATACGGATATGTCGCGATTCGTTGTGGCTACGACGCAGTATATCTTCTTTTTGATGCCCAGTGGCGAATTCTGGTCTTGAGAAGTCACAGCAGGTGCTCATGTCGAGCGCTGGATTCCTGGGATAACCTCGACCATTGCGGACTTTGTATCCAACACTCCTTGTTCTTGAATGTTACCATAGAGGCCCTTCTACTATTGATTGTTGGTTGGTTGATCCATGTTTGATAGAGGAGATACTGCCAGGTTGGTCACCCCAGTTAACTCGGCATATGCTTTTTGCTCATCAACCCCTCGATTCTGGACAATAAAAACATCACGGTCCCTTTCTGTATATATTTATAATATATATTCTTTTCGTTGGGTGGCCTGAACTGAGGGTGACTCAGGTGAACTGCGAGATGGAATAGGTCCGACATATTGACTTGAAACAGGTCCAACTTGTGAGTTTCTTTTGAGGGATCTTGATCAGAACCCACTTTTGTGAGCTGCAGTTGCAAACTCTTCACATGTTCCACTACACGAAGGTCCCTACACCCTCAAGAATCCGAAGGGGCACGAACCAACACAACCCTATGGGATCTGGCGGATCTGGCTTCCGGATCCCCACGGAGGGTCCGTTCCTTTGGAGTCTTAGGGCGTCGATGTCTAACTGACCAGCATCCTAGCTCGCTACGAACCGGGGGCGACCCGGGTCGTACTACGAACGGAACAAGGAACCTAGCTCACTACGAAGGGGGGCGACCCGGGCCATTCCTTCAGGACCTGACTGGAGGCCATCCGGACCCTCTCGTGCGTCACCGGACTCTCATCCACGACCGTCGGATCGTTGGAAAGCACCGAGCATCTCCGTTCATCCACGGATGACGGCTCGAGCACCGAGGCTTTTGACTCCTCCGGCACCCTTACTGCCCTTCAGTGCAGGTGCTGCACATCGGGCCGCATGGTGTCCGTTTGGTGGGATGGAATCAAAGCCGGCCAAAAGGCCAACCCAAAGTTGAAGCAAATGGAACTCTGCCCAGGCCATGGTGTATTTGTTATTAATATTGATGTTCAAATTTTCAGTTTATTTGTTTGACTGCTTCGCTGTTTCTCCTGACTGCAGGATACGATACGAGTGGATACGGCAGGAGACCGTTCTCATCGTCCGAGTTCGGGAGTTGGCCGTCGGCCGTCGGTGGTGAGGGACGCATTTCGCAAAAAAGACCCGTGGAATTCCAGATACAAAAGAAAGGAAGACGGAGCTGGGGTGTAATGATCCGTTTTTTTTTCCGTTTTGAGCACCTTTGTGGCTTCTCACGTTTTGGGGGCTCCCGATAAAGAAAGAGCGCGAAGCCCCGGACAACGGGACGCGTGCCCGGTAGGATGGGTAGCCACCTGGCAGCTGGCCGCATGCACTCCCTGAAATCATCTATAGTTACGACCTGGACATCAAACCACCAGCTGTTTGGTATGATTTTGCTCTGAGGAATTCATGGTGCTCCGCACTTCGGCCAGGTGGCCGGGCGCTGCCGGGCGCGGAGCGCGCACGCTTCGTGCGGCGATGGCTGTTGGAACGCGTGGGAGCTCAGTCGGAAGCGGCTGGAAGCAACACCATACACTCCATGTATGCCATATATGCCTACATTGACCCCCCAAACCACCCCAATGTAGGCATATACGGCATACATGGAGTGTATGGCAACACTACAGGAAATTGAAACCAACCTTGGTTCACCAACCTTGGTTGTTGCATCCTTTTCGGATTCGAGAACTCTCCACCGAATGTCACTGTTTTGCTACCCAGCCCATCGGTGTGCGTGTCCCTGCCGGCCCTAAAAGCGGCGGTCCATTTGTCAAGGTCATGTTCCGAAAACTCATCGTGCGAGGAAGGAAGCATGCCACTATTAATATTAGTGTTTACATCTTCCCAGGAAGCCAGCAGACCAATCAAGGCCTATGACTTAGATTGACTTAGGGGTTTCTGAGACCATTTGTAACCCTGAGGCACAGGTGTGGAAAGCAAACCATTGCTTACATGAGACATTCAAGTCAAACTGACTGAACTTGAGCAAACGCACCTGCACTCCATGAAATAATCATGGAAGTGGATGGCATGGCCCCTTGGATGACAGTTTTCCGAATACCAAACAGGTGGTTTTCACCCCACTAAACCAGGTCTGTTTCAGGGAGTGTAACCCCCCTTGTGACGAGGACGACGTCAAGACATGGACCTTTACTTTCTATTGTGGCACCCAGACGCTCCAAACAGCCCTTGGTCGCTCAAAACCTAGCGATTTGAGACCCCAGACCCCTCCATATGAGTGTCCGACCCCTCCATATCAGGGCCCATGAGCGTCTGGGCTGGCCATTTTCCTCTTTCAATGAGAATGAGTCGGAGTGTCCTCTTGATCATCTCCCCACATCGTCTCCACATCGTCTTCCTGCCGGGGTGTTGTGAGCCACGCCATGACACGCTGTTGAAACGGCGTAGTCACACAAGAACCACGGCAGGACACGCTGAGATTTGAACCTTCACAGCTTATTCTGGGACTCCTTTCATGCCAGAATTGGAACCAAAAACCGGGACCATCTGCAGGACGCCCATAGGAAACCCATCGTTTCGGGTGATGAAAGCTGATTGAACTTCCTCTTGAACCAATCCATTGAAGGAACGTTTATTGAGTTCAGAAGATTGGACACCGTGGTGGAGAGATTGCAATTTTTCACATTGTGAAAAAGGAAGTTCTTTTGTTTTCACCGTGTTTTCTTTTTGTTGGACGCACCCTTGTCAGAGGCACGCACATCCTCATGTCGTCACACGGGCCTGAACCTGCGACGGTCATGCCTTCGACCCACCCACCGGCCGACTCGAGCCTTCTACACCGACGCGTGTGGTAACACAGGTTGGGAACACCACATCCACCGACCGCGACGCTCGACCGCTCGACCGAGAGAACGAAGTCGATTGCGGCCATCGCGCTCGCCGCGCGCTCGCCGCGCGAGACGATCGGATCCATTGAGGGGCGGGACGCCCCGAGACGCCCGCCTGGGAGGCCGAGACGATCGGGCGTTTGGGTCGGAGCGGGGTCGGAGGAAGTCGTCGGGTGACTGGTGGGTGCCACCTTCAAAGTGGCCGCTGAAAAAAGCATGTGGCGACAGGGCCAAAGAAAGCTCTAGCATTTGGAGGTGCTTTTGGTCAACGGTTTTGCCGAGTTAAAGGAGGACAGATGTAGGCACAGTTTCGCACTTGGGTTTGTTCCATGACGCAAGTCGTTGGCAAAGAGATTTGCAACGTTCTGTGATCATGAGACCTTTACTTGTCATCATCATCCAGAAGAGCTGATAAGAACCCATGGTGGCAAGGTGCCCCCAGTGTTTCGGCAGAAAAGGAGGTCAGGCTCCTGGCAAGGGGTTTTCCTTTGTCTAGCCCATAAAGGAGTAGTATTTATGGACTGCTTCCATAAGGTTCTTCTTCTATGGAGGGGTCTGAGGTTGAACAAACCCCTAGGTTTTGAAGGGCTGTTTGGAGCCTCTGGGTAGGTCAGCCGGAAGCCAGATCGTTCCATCCTACTTCATCTTCTAGGTCAGCCACGGATCGAAATAAAAGGTCGTGTGGCACATGATGTGGGATGGAGGGAAGAAAGTCAACTGCAAGCTTTTGTCAACTGCAGGTCCCTTGGAGTCCAGTCATGGTAGAATCAGATTGTCCGTTCGGAACACCTTGCCGAGCACCAAGCTGTTCCATCAGGCTGCCCTGGTGCTCCTGGTTCAGCACCAAGTCGTTGGAGCCTCGGATTTCCGGGGCGGTGAGGTGCCCCCCCCCCGTGCCACCCCAGCGACCTGCTGCGAGTTGGAGCCTGGTTTTGGAGCCGTTCCATGAGGTGTCTTTCCCGTCTCACGACCCATCTGGGACTGCCGGACTGAGAAACGGCCGGACTCGGGGTGGTTGACGTCAGCACGGCAGTCCGCAGCTGGCCCAGACGGGTCGTGTCTGGGTCGGATAAAGTGATCATATCATACCCGATCTGCATCACATCGAAACATCAATCAGATCCCTATCAATCACATCAATAGGGATCCCTATGGGATAGGGATCTATTCAGAAACCAGGAACCCTATCCCATAGACTCCATGGGACTGGAATAGGACTGCCGCCCTATTTTTTGACCGTCCAGGGCAACCACCCCGATCGGCCGTTTCGAAGGCATCTCTTCCAGTCCCATATGGGTCGCGTCTGGGTATAGGGCCACTTTCGTTCGACCCAGTGGGAAGAACAACGGGACCCGTCCGCCTCCGGGACGATGGACTCCGGACCCGTCTTAGTCACCGAGACGCCCAGCGACGTGGAGCTGTGGACGTTGGCTTTGGCGCTGCCGGTGCAGGAGACCGACGGATGCCGGTCTCATGCGGTTCCTCATCTAAGCTAGATTCATGAGGCAGCTGGAAATCCGGAATTCACCGGAATTCCACATTTGGAAGTTTGTACCTGTAACAGCATCCCTTTCTGATCCTCCATGTACCAGAACGGTCCTGAACGGTCCTCCACTCGACCACTGGGACCGCCCAGAGTCATGACAGTCATGGAGTCGTGTGATGAAGTGAAGAGTGAGGCATCCTTCCAGGTCACCAGGAAGTCGGGGTGCCCCTTCCTCACATCCACTCGTGGCCGCCTTCCATGCGATTCAACACCTCCCAACGAGCGGTTCTCTGACTCCTGGTTTGGATGTTTTTCTTGGCACCCGTCAACACATGGAGGGATCGATCATGAGGGTGCACGGGTGTATACTTTTCGGATCGTGTAGGAGAATTCTTGGTCCAACAGCACCAAGAAACCAACTTGCACACATCTTTCTTTTGGCCATTCAAGCTTCTATGATCTTGTATGCTGCATGCAAACTTGTTGATCAATCTTGAAGACCTTCCTTTGCCCTCAACATCTCGGAAACGTCCCCTCCATTTCAACGCGGATCGGAGGATGGTGGATATATGGGATCTACGGTCTACGGGTTAACAACAATCTCTTGCGGAGAGAATCTAAGGTGATTGTTGCATATTTTGCCTCTAAGTAATCTATCATCTATGAAGATGAACCATTCGAAGCCAAACCTCAAAGCCAGCTCGGAAAAGGTTTCCCGATCCACTGTTTTGCGATGAAATCCCAGGAGCCCCGATGTTCATGTTCAACCCTGCAATACCTACGCAGCAGCCCTCACACCATCTAGAACCCAAGTCGATGTTTTTGACATTGAATTGAAGTATATTCCAAAACAGTTCTCAATTCTCAATGCATGTTTGAACAAGACACACTACCATCTTTGTGATCGTTCAATCTAGATTGGGACATGTTCTTGCTCTCCCGAGTGAAACATTCACAGCTGCACCAGTTGACTCACTGGACCGTGCCACGCGTGACCACGCCGCGTGCCACGAACCGGCGCGCGCGAGGAGTGCTTGCGCGCCGCGGCGGAGGAACCGCGGAACGACTGGCTGGTGGAGGTGCAGCGCCTGGATGATCCTGTGGCTTGATCCAGTGATGCCTTTGTTCGGACAACCAGACCCAGACACTCCATGCCATATATGCCTGCATTGGGGTGGTTTTGGGGGTCAATGTAGGCATATATGGCATACATGGAGCGTCTGGGAAAGACAACAGCTTGGGTTCCAACTCGACAGAAATTGGTCGCGAATGAGTGACTTCGACTAAACACACAACTGCGTTTAGTCGACCTTGAAGGTCATGCGTCCGGTTGTACCTGCTCAGTACACCAGATCCGTGTCACAGGAACGTTTATCCACGGTAGACAAGCACTTCAACAGAGTGCCGAGATGCAAAAACACTACTGTATTTTTTTTGTATATAGACCCCGCCAAATAGATGGAAGTTCATAGATCCCCACCAAAAATGTATTGGAAGCCGTGCCATCCTCTACTATTCGGGGACCACTTAATTATAGTATATTAATATTGATCATAGTTGACCTCTCATCGAAAACGCCTGCCGTGGCCAGGCGTACATGTTGATCGGCCGCGAGGACTTGGCGTTGATGGCCCAGCCGGTCAAGGTGGCGTGTCGACGCGACTTCGCCGCGGAGTGAAGGGTTGGGGTCGATGAGGGTCGATACCAGGTGAAAAAAACAGGGTGACAACAGCATAAAACAGTTTTTTTAAATGTTCACACTAGATGAGTTGGACCCTACCAAGTGAGTTGGACACATGTTTACACTTGATGCCTCGATCATATGTGGCACTCCAGAAGGTTTTGTAGAAACTCCATCTACCAAAACGTGGAAACCTATTATAGCTATAGGCTATATAGGCGTCAATGTCAGGAATATGTCGTGGTCCCTGGGTCCGTGGAAACGGGTCTGGGTTCCGGACACGCTCGTCCGGACGACCGGAACACGCATGGAATCGCTCCGGTCGTGCGGCGAAGCGCGGCGAAGCGCGGCCGTTTTCCGTTCGGACTGGGTCCACCGTCGCGAGATGGAACTCGAGGGACTCCTGGTCCAGATGGCCCAGCTCGCACATCAATTGCTTGAGCTTTCAGAGCTGGGTTGTGTTGTTAAAAATAGGGAGACCGGAGACCTCCCAAAGACTGTCTCTGGAAGGTTCGGGAAAAAAGACCGTTCTCTTCCCAGCGGAGTCGAGGGAGTCTCTATAGTAAGATACACACCCGCCTGGAACAGCCGCAAGGAAGCTTGGTAGCATGTGCCCTTGATGCGATCATTTGAGCCGACTCATTTGCTCGTGCCCTGAAACGGCCGAGTGCAGCGCTACATTGACCCCTCTGCCGGCCGAGCCGGAGATCAGCCGAGGGCGACGCGGAGATCCGATGCCGAGGGTGGTGGTGGCTGTCCTGACTCAATGCGATGCATTCAGATGAAGTGCACTGGAGAGGCTGTGGAACTGCAGCATTCCATTCGAGGTGCATCAGATGCTGCACGGGATCATGTGTGGGATTTGTGTCCAGAGCTTCGGCTTCGGCTTGGCATGCTCAGCGTGAAACTTGATGAGTGCTTGATAATGGGTACATTGGATCATATTAGGCTGGAAAACCAGTCACCACCAGAAACAAATGGATTCTTCCCCAGTCTGAAACATAAAGGATCTCAAGAAAGCCATATTGGGCTCCAACCGAGCCCAGAGAGAAGCCTGGACGGGCGGGTGGTTCAAACATGTTCAAACGATGGTTTTTCTTGCTGGCAGTGGCACACAGGGAATGGCGTCAGTGTAGAAGGCGCACACCCACAGACTAGTTTCGATGGCGTACATTTTCCGCATCATACACAACCATTTAGGCTGTGTGCTGTCCACTCCAGAATCAGTGTAGGCAGAGGTGAATCCCATTGTGCAGGCAGCCCCCTTGCTGTTCTTTTTGGAACTTGCGTGGGCGGATTGTTGCTGGGGCAGTTCATCACCGTGCACTGTGGATTGCACATTTAATTGAGTCAGAAATACTGACAATCTGACATCTACCAGCACCCTCCAACAGGTCTCCGCAATGGAGACTTTGGTGGACTTGATGTCGGTGGTGACCTGGGTGAACCGGTGTCCACCTCTTAACCGAAAAATCCTCCTCGTCCTCGTGTCGATTGGCCCGTTCGACCGTCAGGGTGAAGCGACCCTCACTTCCAGGTGCGGTTCGCCGGTCCGCGGCGGTTCCGGTGGAGGAAGGCGCTCGCTCGCGCGAGGCCATGGAGCCATATGGAGCCCCGGTGAGCTCCATGGACTTCTGAGGAACCGAAAAACGAAAGCCATTCTGGACGATTTTGACCCCAGGTTGTCGCCCGGGGCCATGGACGGTCTGGGCTCAGAGGGTGACGTGCTGTCGATACTGGACCTGGAACTGACCCACACACAGTGGATCACCTGAAAAACGGTTAAGGTTTGGGGGGATTGGGACACCCCAATTAGATCCAACACTAGTTTCCGCGGAGATTGAGGCAGTCAGGTAACTATAGCAGTAGACGTAGATCCATTAGTGTTGAGAGCCACGGCTCAGTTGATCTCTGAGAGCACATGATAGCACAGCACGTTGGCCAGTGCTGATGCTTACATATTTTTCTACCTGCTGACTAGGCTCTGACTTGCTGCAGTCGTTCATGAGTTCCTCAAGCGTGAGACCAGACTTGGGAGCTCGTGGGAGTTCGTGCCATCCCACCTTGCAGACCACGGAGTGTGGTCTTGCAGGCGGTCATGCTTCCCTTGTTCCACCAATGGGGTCAAGTCCTTTGTTGATACACCGAGAAATGCCCAAGGCTTCCTAGACATTTTGCCAGACCCAACCTCTAACACAACAGACAAACATCCGGCCATCCCAGTGGCAATCTGTTAGGATCCCCTTGATCACCTCCTGATCACCTCCCCCCATCTTTGCCGAGACACGGCAATCCCAGTGCCTTTGACTCGGCCCAGGCGCTTCCGGGACTTGCTCGATGCCACCGAGGATGTCGGAAGGGACCGGGATGTTTTCACCACACGATGACCAGGGGTCCCGGTGGGCAATTCCTCGGCCAATTTGGGGGGATGTTGGGGTGTTGAACTCGCAAAGCTTACAGATACTTACAGCTCTCAATACCCCATACACTCCATTGGGACTGCCATAGCCGCCCCATTGACCCCCGAAACCACCCCAACTGATCGGCAAATATAGCAATGGAGAGTATGGGCCATGAATTGGATACCACTGGGGATCGGATTGAGGGATCGAGGAGCCGAGGTGTCACCGCCGTTCAAGGCGACGGGCGACCCGGACCAGGAGAGCGGCGATCGTGTGAAGAGCGTGTGTTGAGAGCGGCGTGTTTCGCGTGTCCCATCGAGTGTCTGGGTTGGGAAACATTCACTAAGTGTGACCTCCCGGTGGCATCCAAGGGTGGTCTATCTCCCGAAAAAACTCACATGGTTACGTGGAGTGAGTTCACCACCTGTTTGTCATGTTCTCATGGTCTTCCGAACTCGGGGGCGCGCCATCCACGTGGGGCCCATGTCCGTTCGTTTCAGGGAATTCGCCCAGCGGCCCAGCTTCGTCCTCACCCGGCTCCCGTTCCACCTCCGCCGGCTCCGCCCTGACCGGTCCGCGCTCACCCGAGGATCTCTCGGCCACCAGCGCGGATCCCATGGCCTCGCCCGAATGGCCCGGAACGCCCGGAGCGGGCGGGCGCGAAGGGGGGGGAGGAGAGGAAGGTCGGAGGCCACAAGGGCAGGGGTCTGGTCGAGGGGGACGGTGGGGTGGGTGGGTGTTGTACAGGGACATCCGGAGCATTGGGTGTGTGTTTTTTTTGGGGGGGGGCAGATGGTCTGGTTTAGAGGGGGGAGCACGGCAGTTACAGGGAGTTTTTCAAATCAGCTGCCAACAGATTTTTGTTGAGCTGGGCTGGCAAGTGGTGAATGATTAAGAGATGTGGAGAATATGTGTCTTATACTCAACCTGAGTTCGGCTCCCTTTCGGGCAGGATTTGAGTCGCTGTTGACCCCCCCAGCGTGGCTATGAAACCCATGGGCAAACCACTCGCAACCCACAAAGAATTTGTTCAGGCAACGACCTCACGTAGTCTTGTGTGCATAGTTCTGACATGCGCGCAGTTTTGGAAGTCCCCTCCATCCCCTGCCTAGACAGAGATGCTGCAAAAAAAGAGTGTTTTTCATTTTTTTGGAGGGTGTGTGTGTGTGTGTGTTCTATCTGGTTGGGGTTCTGCTTATATATCAGTCATATGAGCTGCCTGAAATAGATGGAATTATGTACACTTACAATAATATCTAAAGACCTTCTTTCCTGTACTCCAGGTCACCGCATTCGAACAACGGTACGCGCATTCCATTGTTCAAAGGGAGGGTGAGCAGCTGCAAAAGGTGTGAGAGATATGGTTCACTCTCTAACAGATAAGGACTGTTTGCTGAATGATGCTGAATGTATGCCACAAATAAAAGGATGGTTTCGCTCGACTCGGAGGGCGACAATGCATATTCAGTTTGACCAGAAAAGACTTTTTCAAGTCTGGAAGCTCCTTGAACCAGGTGCTCAAGAACTAAAAGTCACATGATGCTTTCTACTGGTTTGTAGAGGAAAGCCTTGCCTTCAGATTTCAGTTTTGGAGGAAACCTGCCAAGTTGATGAGCGGAAACCACGGTGGAGGGTGGATGCTGCAATGCTGCCCTATGCTTCCGATCCGAAGCTGTCTCAGACCAGACGCGGCAACAAAAAGAACCCTCAAAAATTTGAACGACTTGATGAATCGATGAACTACCAGGCATGGATGCACTCACTTGCGGGCATGTACGCATCCACCAACACCCGTCTACAATAGGACAAGGGTACCAGGCATGGTGGATCATGGATGTCTAAGAGATGTCTAAGTGCCGCCCGTGGACGTGCAGGAAGTGGAATTCTAGACTCTTCTTTCCGGCCATGGCGGCCATGGTGTGTGGAGAGGAAACTTGGATACCTCAGTCCTCCAAAAAAAGCAGGCTGTTAAGGCTACCAATGTGAAGGCCAGAAAATACCATGTGTAGAACAGATGAAACCACCAATCCTTCATCACATCCAGTTTTTCACCCAACAAAAGACACATATAGGGGCAACTAACACTAGTAAGTCCCTTCTCCTTGCTTCGCTTCTGCCCTTCCCCCACCGCGTCGGTCCTGCCGCGCTTCCCAGCGCCAGCGATGGCGTCGCTGCTTCCGCCGTCCTTCGCGCCTGAATGGCGGGTGCAACAGCTGGAATGGCGCCTGGCAGAGGTCGAGCGAGCGACTTGGACCGGACCTCTCTGGGTGGGTTGGGTCGGTGGTGAGGTGGCAGGGCCCAAGGTCGGATGCTGTTCGTTAACATAGATGTAGATATATATGACAGGTGAAGAATGGGAGAAGGGTGAAGTAACACGCGTTTCGTCGCGTTTCGACTCTTTATTTCACTTGTGGAAGGAGGGTGTGGCCAAGCAATGTGTTTTTGCTTGAAATGTCTTGTCGTGGGTGCTCAAGCGCGCAACATGGGACCAAAGGAAGACCCGATCGAGCTGTTTGGTTGTTTATATAGTCATGGATCATCCAAGGCCCCATGTCATCCACTTTCACCATGATTCAGGAAGTGTACTCAATTACTTGTGCTTGGTGTCGATTGGGAGCTGGGCCTTCCAGTAGTTACGTATTTGGGGCAAGAAGGCGGTTTTGCGGTAGAGTCCTGGGCCACTCTACTAAGAGAGGATCGCCTGAGAGGAGTGCAGCATACTTGTAGTTATTGTAATGGTAGTGCACCAAATGCAAGGTTTGATAAGGCTTCAATTGTTTTGACAGGGCATATGCTTTGTTGTGTGATATCATTGCTGTGGCCGAGCAATGAAAGACCCATGTCATTGTTAATGAAAGTGATGCTTGTAACTTGTAACTCGCTTCCCTCATAGGTTGGGTGCTGCGCCACTGGACAACGAGAATCAGTCACTGGACAACGAGAATCGTCCTTTTTGTGGACCACGAGGCCCTGATTTGTAGAGACCCCTAGTCACCATGATTAAGCCAAAAGCTCCACACCCCCAAAACCTCTAATTCACCATGATTGGTTCACAGAGGCCCTATTTGACCAGGCCCATGAAACCCCCAATGGGCTCCAAATCCGTTCGAAGGCTTGCCCCTGCCCCTGCCAACCAAACGCAACCCGTCGACCTGAACAAAAAGCGCGAGGTTCGCGCTTCGTGCTTCTTCCGCATCATCTCTCCACTCCTAAGGTCTTAGCCACTTTAAAGCCACAGAATGGAAGCAAAGGAGGCCAGGAACCACCAGGCTGGGGACCGCTGCGCCTGCCGCAGGAGGGGAACAGAAGGCTGGCTACTAACCCATGGGTGGCGGGTGTCTCGAAGGTCGAGACAAGGCAAGTCTTAATGGATTCTAGAAGTCGACATGTTCTAAGCTCTGCTACAGCGGATCCTGTTGTGGGATAACTTGAACCCAAGGGTTTCGGACAACCATTCAGAATGCTTGTTTCTATGCTTCATGACGCCTCACTGGTGGGTCGTGAACGCTTCAGAAGTACCGCCCTTGGTGGGTCGGGTCGACCTGCAGCGACCGCTGCAACTGGGACAGCTCCCCACGGCATAGAGGCAGCCACCAGGCACCAAGCCATGTCAAAGAAGTTCCAAAAAACCCGGTTCTTGGCCCACAGATGTGGTAGAGAAGATTCATTACAACTTCCTGATTTTGCGGATGCAGGTGCTTTTTGTTGTTTCCTTAGGTCCTTTATTAACCTTATGGTTAAATCCCCTTCTGGGGAATCTTTTTTTCCAGGTTCCTTCAGCAACTCCAAGACTTCCTGGACGAATTTCTGGGGCTCCTCTCAGTTTCTACATGGACATCCACCACTCTGGCGCTTTCTTAAAGTCACTCACGGCTTGACATACCTTTTGAACGGTTTGTGTCCAAATGAGATGGGGAGTGTCTTGAAACACAAGTTAGGTTCACATAGTGACCCCCTGACATAGTGAGCGACAAGCCGACCGGACCCCTTATTCTTCAGTATCACCCACACCAGACCGACCTCCGTACCTTTCAAAAAGGCTTTCTGACCGGTCCTAGACCGGTCCAGGACATCCGTCCTTTAGGGCTCTGATCGTGTCACAAAAAAGGATCTCCAGACGCGACCCTGGGCCCGAATCCTCTGGAGGGGTCTGGGGTCGAACCAATCCCTATAGCTTTTGAGGGACCAGTCGGGCTGTGAACGGAGCGTCTGGGTAGTAGGTTAGAATCTTCATACCCACCTCCCGATTTTGGAGCAGAACTTCCCCAGCATGGCTTGCCTTTTTTTGCGGTGAACACCGCGGATCTTTGGAATGGCAGGAGACTTGAAACCCACGAAAGATGGAGAGGTGCGGTGGAAGCCGTGCGGATGCATGTTTGTGTAAAGGCACCACAGTGCGTTGCATGGCAAGACAGTTCCATGGCCACAAATACTAGTGCCTGATAACCATCAGTCATTTTTTCCGCGGGTGGTATATGGTGATGGCAGGTGATAAGCGACCTGATGTGTTTGCAGCAATCTCTTTGCCAAAACGATCACCGGTGAGCTAGGCGATTCAGGTGGATGTTTTTTTCATTCATGTTTTCTTGCCGCGTTTCCAGCGGCAAGAATCAACACGTGGCTGGGATCTAAGCATCAGCCTCAAAGCTACTGATTCCAAAGCTGTAGATTCTTAACGCCCGAAACTGGTAAAACTTGGGATTCGCATTCAGGATAGTTGCAGTTCCAGGTCCCACGATCCTATCAGAGGTTTGAGAGGTTTGATGGCGAGCCAAATTGAGATGACTGTGAGTCAAAATAAACCTCCCTCTCCAAACCACGGTAGGTTGACATTTGAATAGAGGAATCTGTTCATTTGACCCAGGGCAGAGCCCCAGGGTGCTGGAGATGATGTCCATGGTGACCGTGGATGGGAGGGCGTGAATCGATTTCTAAGTGTTATAGGAAAAAACCCCGGAGATGAACGCTCTGAGGATACTCCGAGAGGGAAAGTCACAACCTCAACCTGCAGTCATGACAGATGTTCCCCAGGGCTCCTGGCCCACATCCCCAGGTTCAGGTGGTTGGGGTGGGTGCCAGGGGGTCTAACCCCCTTACCTGAGGAGATGGGCCAGGATTGATGTGGTTGGAGCCCTAAGGGTTAATCATGACATATTAGACAGAGCTTTTCTCATGGCAAGGGGCTCACTGTTTCTGATGTCGTCTACTCCTACAAAATCGACCATGTCTTCCCATACTTCCGGACACTGATCCTCCACGATTGGTGGAGCTCTCCAGACTCCTGGCATCGTTGATCTTCTTCCAACCCACCATCGGACAGGACAGCCCTCACAGCGATGACAGCCTGTTGCGTGCAAGTTCGGAAGCCTTTGGCACCGTCGCGGGGTCTGAGGGACGTAGGGAGGGACGAGAGCATCGGTGGGAGGGCGCTGGGTCACCGGTGGAGACCAGAGCATCGTCATGGCCAAGAAAAAGAGTCTTCCCACCAAAAAGGACACTTGGCTAAGGTGGCTAAGGCAAGAGTTGTTCGAAATTTGTTGTGCTTCATTTCTGTATAGGGGCGTCTCAGACGTTTTTTCAAAGATGCACACAGCGCTGGACGGAGCGCTGTGCTAAACCGGGGTCACGTGCGA